AAATGGTGCTGGTTCCTGAAATATGGAACACTCCAGATTGAACAGGGTTGAGAGGGGAGGCGATGAGCTCAGGCTTTGACTTGTGGCGTGTGAACTCTGAGGGGAGAAGTCTGTTAGATGACTGCTGTATGGGTTGGTGCTCTTCAGAGAGACATGGGTGTGGCTATGGATGGGCCGGTCTGGCATCTTCCCCGTAAGTGATGCGGTGATACAGAAGAGCAACGAGAATGGATGAAATTGACGGGAGTGGGGGGAGGGGGAGGTACAGTGAGAAAAGAAGGCAGAGGGAACACTGCGAGCCCCCTGCCACTCTTCAGTAAAACCATTACAAGAAAAAAAAGCACATCTTTGGACCCATCACTGGGACGTGATGGAGGCTGGGATAGTGAGGAGTTGTGTTGCCATGCCTTTGCTGCAGTGGATTTACAAAGTCACTAAAGAACTTGTGTTAGTCTGTAGTTACAGAGTCTGTTTGCTGCAGCTGGTGACTCTGGACTCTGACTGCAGAGAAGAAGCACAGGGTCCCTCTCTGCCTTGCGGTTTTGAGAGCGTTTCAGTGCTCATTCCTGAGGAGAGGGGAAAATTGGGCAGATTTAAATTTCTCTTTCTAAGTTATAAAAGTAAAAAAATTAGTGACTTTTTTGGATTCCCCCATCTCAATGCTCACACTTGAGAGAAAACTGCTTTCTCCGGGAAGTAAGTAATAAATCTCTCTCACCGATGGAAGTCACTACATCCTGAAATAACAATCATCAGCTGAAAAGGAGAAAAAAATAAGATAAAGAAAAAATAAAACATTCCTTCCCTCCGTGAAATGCTCTTTCTCCTAACATGTGACCCCATCGGACTATAGAGAGCCCCATTATGCAGACAACTCGGACTTCTTCGGGCCTTGCCCAGAAACATAATTGGCTGTGACCAAATGACCATGGCAATCTGCCCAGAGTGTGAAAATGTTTGGTTAGGGTCATTGCTGGAGGGGCTCTGCTGTGTAAGGCAGGTTAAATGAGCAAACCAGGCCAAGCACACACAGATGTGGCCAAGGTTTAGTGTGAAGAGGAAGAGAGGGGTGGGGGGTAGTGAATGAGATATTTGGACATGTGCCCTTTAAATCTTTTACATCTTCATTTTGCAAGCTGTGTGTGTGTGTGTGTGTGTGTATGAGACAGAGAGAGAGAAATGGCTGAGTGTGTTGCTTTTTATCCTTTACTTATATTTTGCCCTTATATTCAGGCTCTCTAACTTTTCCTCTGCTTCTGGTCTTGCTTCCTTCATATCCATCTTCCAAACTGTCACTAGAATGAAATGCACCCCAGGACCTGCTTCAGACTTTTCAAGGGCGTCCCTGCTCCTACAGCTGTGGGTCTATCCACCCTGAGCAGAGGGAGGAAGTGCCTGACTCCCAGGAGACCTGGAGCAATTCTCCCAGAAAGAGGAAGCTTCTGGAAATCTCACTTTTAATTTAAAAATTCAAACACATTTTTCTTGATTTGTTCCATAATATATCCATTGTTTTAATAAAAATTATTGTTTTAAACTACTTCTTGTTGAGGAAAGATTAATGCTCTAGGAAGATGCACTGCTTTGTCCCAAAAGTATGTGTCATAAGCTTGAGAACTGGGCCCTGGGGAACCAGTCCATTGTCCTATCCAAGTCTCCATCAGCTGGCCTCCCTCCACCTGAAATTCTACACAGCCCAAAGAAAGTTCTTACATGGAGGTGTGGCAAGGTATTTATTTTCTGATTGTGTCTATTACCATATATCTGATTTGTAGATAAAATCATTCTATTTGATATGATAGCACAGAAGTTAGGAGAGAGCTAGGCAGTTCTAGGCTTGATTCCTTGTTCTGTCAAACCAAAAATATAATCTCATGGAGCCTCAGTGTTCTCATCTGTAAGATGGGGATTATAACTGCAATTGTCTTGTGGGGTTGTTGTGAGGATGTGATGAGATGTTCATAAAGTAGATAGCACGTGCCTGTCACAATACATATAAACTATTGGAATTATTTGCTATGGAAATAATTTTAGAGGTGATTCAGATATAGTTACAGGTACTAAATGATCACAGATAGATAGGACTGAGTTGGTTATATTAGACAATTTGCAGAAAAGAAACAATTAAAAAAGACTACTATGCATTCTGCCAGTGGATACTTCAATAATACTAAGATCTAACATACGAATTAAGAAAGGATTTTAGAGTTCATTATAAGTGTGCATTCAAATTCTAGAATCATATCACTTTTGGTTGAGGTAGTTATGTTTAATTCTGGTGACCACACTATCTTGACGTTCTGTATAAGATAGTTTATTGTACTAATATGTCTTTCCCCAGAGCAGAAGTATCTTGAAAACTTAAGCAAAGAATATAAATAAATACGAACATCTGGTAGAGGAGCTGAAGCAGATGTGCAGACTGAGGCACATCAAAGAAATGTGCATTATTATCTTGGTGACTGCCTATGCTGCATATTATAAACAACTTATAGAAATGGAAATTAATTGTCCAGAGGTGTTAGTGCATATAAAAAGGTACCCTGAAAGTAAGAGATACTATTTAAACAATGAATCATTACAGTGTATATAGTTAATGCTCATATGGATAAAAAGAATCAATAGATGAGGGACTTAAGACACAGAAATACCAAGTTTTTGGCTCTGTTTACTGGAGAATGATTTCCTTAAATGTGGAGATAAGAACATCTCTCTGCAATTTTCTCACACAGCACTGCACACGGTGGACAGATCACTGTTCCTGAACTGATAGGCTAGCTGTGGTGATAAACTGACACTAATGTATACTCACAGCTATACGCTCATGGGACTGCAGAGTTAGAATGATCATGTGACATGACATTTTTAATGCAGGGAGCAGTGAAATGGCCTTATTCCCAGAATGATTCTATCTGATGTCATGTAAGTTATAGTTACAGACCTTCAAGTTTGAGGTCAAGAATAGGGCAGAAAAATAACAGGACTTTAGATTTATTGGTAATAAATCCAAATATATTAGTTTCCTTTGACACAGTGCAAGACAGAAAAGGGTAGTGTACCTGCTGCTGCAAGTAATTTCTCTCATATCTTATTGATGACTTATAGATTCTTTCTGGAGTCCTCATAGGCAAGTTCTGCAATAAGTATGTAGGTGTGATGTCTTTCTTCTCATGATTTTAAAGGTCCAAACCCTGAACTTTGGGTAGGTTGAGAATTACCTTCAAACGCGGTGAGTCTTCACTAGTGGAAAACCAAAAAAACAGGGGCACCTGGATGGCTCAGTTGGTTTAAGTATCTGACTGGGCTCAGGTCAAGATCTCAGAGTCCTGAGATTTAGCCGCATGGGGCTCTGAACTTGCAGAGTCTACTTGTCTCTTTCCCTTCTCCTCACCCCCTCAGCTTCTCCACACCTCCCCACCCCACACCCGGCTATCCACTCTCAAGCTCTTTCTCATACATACATACATACATACATACATACATACATACCAAAAACAAAAAACACAGCCCTTCAGTGTGTCCTACAAGCTGAGGAGCATGAATTTAGCAAAAATAGTCCAAAACACCTTTTCAAATGTTAAAATCTGACTGGGAAGACTAAGCGTAGTCCTAGGGCGTATTAAACAATACAGTTGTAATCCAAGTAAATCTGGGTGCCTAAAGGCACTGTGCGGTATCTCTAAATGTCACAAATATGACTCGGTAAAGCACTGAAATATAATAAAAAGCTTTTACTGATTGTCTCTTGAACCAGTAGCAAAAGAGAATTTTTTTTTTAAATTCAGAAAACTTCCCGAAATTTCTCTCTACAAAACTCGAGACTAACTGGCTCTCCTATTTAATTCATCACTGGCCCCTTTCTCACTCTCTTTTTTCCACTTTCTGGATCTCAGGCTAGAATAATGCTTTTTCTTATGTAGCATGACCTACAGCATTCTCTGCTTCTTAAGTTCTGCATCTGAGCTTGTGACTGTGCTTGGGACCATAAGAGCTCGACTGTCAAGCAATGCAACATAGGATCCTCCTTGGAAGGTGGGAGAAGGAAAAACTGTTGGCTCGTCACTTCTGCCCTAGAGGGTAGAATGCTAAATCAAAAAATTTTAAACAAGTTGCAAATGTCTTAAATATGAGGGTTGAATTTCACTCGAAGTCATTGAGTTTCCTCATCTATCTTCAATTTCTTCTCTCTTCAAGCATATTAGCAATAATTGAAAGAACTGGGCCTTTTAATAAAATTGAAATGACTATATGAAATTTAAAATGAGATGCACAGATCCATTTATCCAATTAAAAGCTACCCACTGACAACTTTTCCATTCAGTGGGGTGTGTGTGTGTATGTGATTGTTGTCACTATTGTCCTTATTTTGTTTGAAAATATTTGAAATTTCAATATTTGACTTTTTCCTTATGATACGAAAATATCTCTCCTTTCTTTAATGTTCAGTTAGTTCTACACATGATCTTAAATTCTGCTTTCTTGCCCCACATCAACACCCAGAGACTGGTTTTTATTTTGCACAGAAATAAATTTTAACTTAAAATAATTTCCACACCTACTTTGTTTAAAGAAGAGCCATGAAACATTAAATTTAATTTATGAAGCCCTCTATTTGTGTTCCAGTCCTCTGCACATACGCACTGTGGTAATGCTGTTCTCTATATGCCAATGACATTAGAGTTTCTGGCAAAATTCAATGTGTAATCAATTATCACCTGTCATGAATGACTTTTAAGATCCAGCCAGATATTTTAAAAATACTGCTTAGCTCCACTGAGAAGGGAAATCTCCCTCTGAAAGTGGGATGGCCCTCATCCTTAAATCTCTTATTCAAAGGAGTTTGGACAACTTTCAGCTTAGTCAATATGAAATAGAGGCCAGCAACTTACATCTTAAAAAACACAGAATTTTAGCTATTTCAAAACTGCTTCAAGAGTATGCTTGTTGCTTAGAGAAGAAATGATAACAAATCTTTAATCTTTTTTTTTTTTTCTCTGTAGGGGAGCAAGAATCTCATATGTACCAGTTACAAGCCCGCACCTCTTTTTTCCCTCGCTTTTATGCTTGTTTTGATTGCAAACCACCAATTGAGAAGGACTAGGATTCCAGTAAGTATTGTACTTTCTTTTTCTTTTATTTTTCTTAATCAATTTTCTCAGAGGAAATAAAAATCAATCATTATCCTCCCAACCAGAGAACATCCCTAGTCTCCCAACATGCCAGCTTTTCTGGGCTTAGACACATAATTTTGTCTTCTCAGCTGTTATCAGATGGCTTTGTGATCTGCTTTTCCCCTAATTAATAACATATTGTGATCACTCTTTATATCACATTTGGTTGACTTCTCACTGTATCAAGAGAAGGAAGCTGTAAGGCAGTCCCCCCAAACTGCACAGAGTTTCAAGTGCAGTGAGATAATTCAGGGTGGTCCACGCTCATCAACATTTACTCTTTCAGCCTCGTACACTCATTCCTACATATTCAGCAAGTGCCCAGCCCAGTGAGGATCACACCTGGTTTGACCCCGGAGTGTAGAGTCTGGGGAAGCAAGCCAGGGCTAAGTGATTGAAATTGATTATGTAGAGACACAGAGAGAATAGCCTGTCACTTGGTGACACCAGCATTCGCCTGCTTAAAGAGAGGTCAGAGCACTGTTACTTTCAAACACAATCATTGTCCTAGCACCAGAAAGCTGAGAAGCTACTTCAGATCATTTATTTCCAGAATGTAGGCATATTGGTATTATCGGGTTAGCAAATGCCTAATGGATAATGCTAAGCTCATTGTCTTATCCACAGGTGTGCAGTTATTGCCATCAAGACATGATCTACCTGAACCATCTGCATATTGATAAACATAAAACCATTTTTTTCCCAGTCTCAGCTGCAGTAAGTTCCCCGGTGAGGAATTCCCTATGGATCCCACTGTCTGGCATTGCTGGGCAGACTCTCTGAAAATGACTGCGTCTGTGTGGGTTGATTCCGTTGCAATGTTGAGGACTCACTATTCTACTTTGTGAGGGGTCTGGACTAGATGGTCAGATGACCTGTTCCAGATTCGGTATCTGCACTGCCTCTGGTTAGATCCTCTGGCCTGCCTTTAAGGAAACAGGCTTTCTTAGACCTCCAGGGGGCAGCCCTATACCAGCTGTTATGAGGGACAGGGTCGGATTGTTGGGAGGAAGAGGATAGGATTTCTATCCCTTGCTCAGGCAGACGGCGGCACCAAACAAAGAGTTGCTGATGAAGACACCTGCACAGCACCCTTCAGGACAGGCATGGGGTGGGGCAGAGATGAGCCATCTTTTTTTTATTATTAATATTATGTTATGTTAATCACCATACATTACATCATTAGTTTTTGTTTTGTTTTGTTTTGTTTTACATCATTAGTTTTAGAAGGCTAACCCATCCCCCCACCCCCCTCCCCTCTAGAACCCTCAGTTTGTTTCTCAGAGTCCATAGCCTCTCATGGTTCGTCTCCCCCTCCGATTTCCCCCCTTCATTCTTCCCCTCCTGCTATCATCTTCTTCTTCTTCTTGTGTCTACACTTTGCATGTGTGTGTGCGTGTATGTGTTTGAGTGCGTCCATGTGAAACATACATACACACGACTTAGGCTCAAGCAGCCCTGCCAGGACTGGGAACTCATAAACGAGAGCATACCTCTAAGAAGTACATCTCATGGAAATGGTGGCAAATGATGATAATTTAACCTTTGCCTCACCTTAAACCATCAGCCCAGCACAGTGTTACTTCCATAGAGAGCAGGTTTTGTAGTGATTACTATCCACCTTGCCAGGACTGGGAACTCATAAACGAGAGCATACCTCTAAGAAGTACATCTCAGGGAAATGGTGGCAAATGATGATAATTTGTAGACTTGTGTCTACAAAGTGACAAAAGTGGTTTATTTATGTGAGAGAGGGAGAGAATGAAAGTGGTAGGAGGCAGAAGAGGGACAGAGAGAATCCTTAAGATGAACAGACTCCCTGCTAAGCATGGAGCCCGACACAGGGCTCTATCTCAGGACACTGAGATCTTGACCTTAGCCGAAATCAAGAGTCGGCTGCTTCTCCTTCTCCTTCTTTCTTCTTTCTTCTTTCTTTCTCCTTCTCCTCCTCCTCCTCCTCCTCTTCCTCCTCCTCCACCTCCTCCTCCTCCTCCTCCTTCTTTTAACATATAATGTATTATTTGTTTCAGAGGTACAGGTCTGTGATTCAACAGTCATCTTTACTGGTGGCTAAATAACCAAGGCGCATAGTTGTGAGTCTCAGTTCTGACATTTTTAGAGATTTTCAGTGAGTTCTAGGGACGTGCAGGAGCTTGTGTTTACAAAGTGACCACCAGCAAGTGAGCTTGCCATAGGACTCTGTTTCCCAGGGTTTGAGGGCATAAAAAGCATGCATATTCATGGTATATTCATGCTTAATAGCCATAGTTTTTCAAGAGCAGATTCTAGAATCTATATGAGCCAGAGGTTTGTGAGGACTTAACTCTTGGTTTGGTCCATTTTTAGCTCTATAGATTTGGAAGACAAGATCAGAAATGATTCTCTATTGATAGATCACATTTTAAAGTGAATTAAATGGCAGAAATATTTGTTAAGCATTCCCTATGGGAATTTGAACAACATTGAGTCTCTTTTGCTTTCAATGAATTTATATTTTAGCAGGATATCCAAGAACGCAAAATAAGCATCACTGAATCACTCCCCCTTTTGGGGGAGAAGTGTTGGATGCCTAGGAGGCTTGCATGATAGAGCTACACTAAAAGAGACCTGTTCTAATGTTGGAGAAAAATTGGAAGTTTTCCCCAGTTCCCAGTTATAGGAGAAAAATACCAAGTGGAATATCAAAAAGGTGGATAGTAATCACTACAAAACCTGCTCTCTATGGAAGTAACACTGTGCTGGGCTGATGGTTTAAGGTGAGGCAAAAGTTAAATTATCATCATTTGCCACCATTTCCCTGAGATGTACTTCTTAGAGGTATGCTCTCGTTTATGAGTTCCCAGTCCTGGCAGGGCTGCTTGAGCCTAAGTCGTGTGTATGTATGTTTCACATGGACACACTCAAACACATACACGCACACACACATGCACAACAAATTGCTAAGGTGGTTCCACTCAAGGAATTCAACTGCAGGGAAGCACCTGGTTGATGTTACCTTTTAAAAAAACCAATTAAGATGTCATTATTGCACATAGCAAGAAGTCTAGAGACAAGTCAGTTCTTAGTGGACACCTCTCTTGGAAGATGCTGCAGAAGAGCAACTTAAATTCTCATCTTAATAAATTCCAAGGTACTTAACATGTACACCTCATGACTGCCCCTTCCCAGATGGAAGCTGATCCAACTAGTCTTGGAGGTCTCCCCAGCCAGGGGACTTAGAAATGGGTTCCCAGGCTGAGCAAAGTGAGGCTTAAAATCTCAATTATTATGTCCATTTCATTTTTTAAAAAGGTTTATTTATGTGAGAGAGAGGGAGAGAATGAAAGTGGTAGGAGGCAGAAGAGGGACAGAGAGAATCCTTAAGATGAACAGACTCCCTGCTAAGCATGGAGCCCGACACAGGGCTCTATCTCAGGACCCTGAGATCTTGACCTGAGCTGAAATCAAGAGTCGGCTGCTTAACCGACTGAGCCTCCCAGGGGCCCCTTTTATGTCCATTTCTAAGCGAAAGGCTTATGCATCTATGATCTTGCTTCATAACATCATTTTAGTAACAATACTTAATATTTAGCATTTTGATACCCATTATATGAATTAACCTTGTGATGATACTACTAACTCTATTTTCCAGAAGAGTAAACTGGAGCTCAGAGTATTTAGATAGCTTGCCCTATGCTGAAAGGGGGACAGGGACAAAACCTGACCTTGAGCACAGGTACTTTTCAAAATAAATCTCATGTTTCTTCTCCAGCATCATCCTAAATGCCCATTCTTCTGTCTTGGGTATGATTTCCTGGTAGGCTTTCATAATGTGTACTTAAACATGAGACAAAGGATGCCCATAAAATATGATTGATCAAACAAGGCACATTAAAAATTATCCTCACCACTGTATTGTCACACCTCTACACACACTCAGCTGACGCTTTGGAGCCAGTATCTATGCTCAGGAGGATTGCAGTTTCCTGTTTGTGTACTGAATTTGGTGGTTCCATGAGGATTAAGATAGAACATTCCCTGTCTCCTCCCACTTTGTCTGCCATAGGTTCTCTGGCCCTTAATGGCAGGACTTTCTTTATATCTCCAGCACCTGACTCTGCCGCCCCCACCCCTTCTCCTGAGTTGGCACTGTTATTAGGAAAGCAGCCAGGTGGCAATCGCCACATCACCCTTAGCCTACCTGAACAGCCTGTCCCCATGAAAGGCTCCTGTCTCCCACCTCAAACATGGCCACCCCAACCTGGGCATTAGAGAGTGTCAAGATTTATCCCTTCTCTCCCCACACCACTGTATCTCAGGCGGTCAGGAAGTCTCCCAGCTCATTCCTTGTCACCAGATTCTCCTCCCCCAAACTGGCCTGGAGGCATAGGTCACTTCAATCCCTGACACGGTCACCATGCCCTCTGGAACTCACTGTCTGTCTACAGCAAAATTCCCCTGATCTTCAACCCCCTCACTCTCTTATCTTAACCCAAACCTGGCTCTTCTCTGAGGACACTTTTCCATAGCTCTCTCAGGCAGTGTGCATTTCTTTTCCTACACCCAGGGTGCCTGAGTTGGCTTCCTCACTCTTCATGCATAACTCTTCACGGGTTCTTCTGGACCATTCTCCTCCCCCCCTCCCCCGCCCAGCTCACTGGAAGTTCATGCTCTCAGGCTCTGATGTCTACTATTGTTTCCTGTGTAGTCAGGTCACTTGGTCACTTTAGGTCACTCCCTTTATCCCCTAAATATTTTAGCACCTTGCTGATACCCCACTCTTTAAAACTACTCCTGTAATAATTCACATTTTCAAATCCTTCGGGGCAATTCATGCCCTGAACAATCTGTTCTTTGACTCCTCTTACTCTTACTAAACCACTCATTCTTTTTTCTTTTTTTAAGATTTTATTTATTTATTTGAGAGAGAGAGAGAGAGTACGAGTGGAGTGAGGGGCAGAGGGAGAAGCAGACTCCCTGCTGAGCAGGGAGCCCAATGTGGGGGCCCGATCCCGGAACTCCAGGATCATGACCTGAGCTGAAGGCAGACGTTTAACCAGCTGAGCCCCCCAGGCACCCCAACCACTCATTGTTATAGTTCTACCCCAGCTTAGCCACTACCAGTAACTGCAGCTCCTCCAGATCTCACTTCAAGTACTCCTCCTGGTGACAGGCTCTTCCCATCTATTTAAATCATTCCAGCTAGTCTCCTGTCTCCAACAGTCCCCAACTCCACAGGAAGGTACTCCATTTTCACTGTCAGTCATCTTTTCTTATCTCTACTTTTTCTACTGCCTTGGATTCTGTGGTTCAGCATTACAATCCCAGCCTTATACACACATTCAACTCACTGGTTCCTCTCTCCCTCTATGATACTCGTCTACGAAAACCACAACTCTAATTCAAAACTGTCTACTCCATATCATTCCCCCAAAGCTGAACATAGCTGGGAGAAAAACACGCAACCATATGGGCTGATGTCACATTTAAGGCATGAGCACAGGCTGCAGGTGGGCCCCAGTGCTGCCCAGCAAGTCTGTAGTCCATTTCCCTTTACCATTCACTCCACTCCTCTCCCCCATAGCTGTGTCACCTCTTCACCATTCTTTCTGAAACCTCCAGGATCTCCTCCAACTTCCGTCTTGGCCATTACCTGCCTTCTCGTTTCATGAAGAAAACCTGAAACCTAGGAAAATATGTATATCTGTTTCATATTTTCCTTCTTCTGTCCTATTATTATGGATGTCTTAAAACCATCTACTTATGCACTTGAGCTCATCCCCTCTCTTCTACCCCAGGGCATCTCTTATGGGATGAACTGTGCCCCTCCAAAGTTCATATGTTGAAGTCCTAACCCCCAGTACCTCAGAATGTGACTGTATTTGGAAATAAGGTCTTTAAAGATGCAATAGTGATGGGTATTAAGGAGGGCATGTATTGCAATGAGCACTGGGTGTTATACACAAACAATGAATCATGGAGCACTATATCAAAAACTAATGAAGTACTGTATGGTGACTAACATAACATAATAAAAAAAAATAAAGACGCAATTAAGATTAAATGATGTCCTATGGGAGGGCTGTAATCCAGTATGACTGGTGTCCTTATAAGAGGAGAAGATTAGGACACAGGCACACGGGGAAGGTCACATGAAGACAGAAGACAGCCATCTACAAGCCAAGAAGAAAGGCCCTCAGCAAGAACAACACTGGTGACACCTTGATCCGACTAACTGGAGGCTGCCTTCTAGCCTCCAGAACACACAATAAATTTCTGTTGTTTCAGCCACCCAGTCTGTGGCACTTCGTTATAGCAGCCCCAGAAAACTAATATAGCTTCTTTCCTCAAATCTTTCATATTTCTCCGATATCATCAAATTTTTCCTTTCAACTGAACTTGATGTCAGTGTACAAACAAGCTATTTACCTACT